ACAAATTTGGTGATTCGTTATGGAATGTCAATTATGATTTTTAGATTAGAAAACACAATTTAACTAATTATTTAAGCATTTGAAATATAAAAAAAGATTATAAACGATTAAAAACTGTTGTGGGAAAAATGTTTTTCAAAAAATCATTATATTATGAAGACAATAAAATTACATGAAGGTGGTGGTGAAAAGATCAGCTGAAAAAGTAGCATTATATTAAGTAAAAAAAACTGAAATTACAATGAAATGAAATACAAGCAACAACCAAAAAATCAAAATAATTGAACTATTAACACGAGATGAAAATTAATAAAAAGTTACTTCACGACGTTTCGATTGTTAGTATCAACAATCCTCTTCGGGTGATAACAGTTATACTTGCATTAGCTCGAACAACGGACAAGAGCTAAACTCAGTAGAATACTCTGCGGAAAATCATTCCCGAATAAACATTAAGAACTCTAAGAAAATACGAGAATGTTCGAGTGTGGTATATATACGAGTGCGTCTAGTTGCGAATATTACATAGCTATGAGATCAGTAATTATGGATTATATAATAAATGAAAATACGTTCAGGTATGACCTTCATTACTGAAATGAAGTTTCGTCGAGATGAATACAAATTGCAGAAATTCAATTGTGAAGAAAAAGCTGTTGTCATCTCCTAATAATGTTAACGTGATCAGCAAAACGTGTGTCCAGAGATACTGGTATGTGAGGAAAGTATTTTCATTTTTTCATATTCATTACTCTAGCTCTAGATTAAAAGTGTGATACTCCTTCAAAGTCTCATTTTGAGTGACTGAGTTGAGACTTGGTTAACTCAAATCGAAATAAGAGTTAATACAGATTTAATACAACATACAACAACGCTTTCAAAGCGCCTCAAAGATTTTCCTGTAGTGCTTGTGAGTACAGAAAAGAATAGACAATGAACATCAGTGAAATCTGGCTACCTGTCGTTAGGGGTACACGAACAAGGTAAGGTAATCTATTTGGAGAAACCAAGCCAAGCCCACTAATATTGATATAAAACCAGAGTTGAATAACAGCATCGTAGCTACCGCGTTTGGAACGGGAACAACAACTAGCTTTTGATAATGTATACCGCAGTAATAGACGAAACGTTAGGAATTAGAATCTGCAGACCACGGCCAAAAAACTCGGAAAGTAGCTTTCACACAGATCATTTTGAATCAAATTTGAGTCTCCAGCAATTTTGGTTGTTCTGAAAATCATTTTCCCCAGTTTCATAGTACAGTACAGGATGTTTATTAAACATGCGGCAAAAATTTAACGGACTATTCCTTGGGTATTTTGTCCTTTGATGAGTTTTGATGGAGCGCTTTGTTTTGAAGATACGGAGCGAAAAGAATTTCGACAATAACAATTTATTACCAAAAATTACAAGACATGTAATGTTTCTTAGTCTACGAGAACTGTTGAAAATGACTACCCCCGCTCGGATGTAAGAATCCAATTATCCCCTCATCGACTCACGAACTCCAAAAAACCAGGATCGTTTCTGATTGCGTTACACCCAGCAATAGGCCTTTTCATCATAAGATGAGCGCAAGCGTAGCCGTCATATTGAAAAGGCGGTAATTCAAAACATTCGTACTGTTTTAATCAACAATGGCTGAGCAAGGAATATTATCTCTACAAACAAGTTAATTATTGGAAAAAACCATTGATGGCGCTTCACTTGTTTATAATTCAGTTGAGACTCATAATTGTGAACAATNGTATTTCCATTTACTTATAGTCCCTTAATTTTTTGTCGCATGTTTAATAAACACCCTGTATATTATCTACGAATCCAAACACTCTCTTTTAAGTACCACCATGTATGTCGACAAATTTTTTACTTCAAACCACAGAAAGTTTGCAAAGGTAAAATGATCCCGAATAGTAGCATACTGAGTTCTAGTGAAGTTTAGTCGAACGTGTCTGTCTTTGAAAGGTTTCTTGATACCTGATTATTTTCTGTTTAAATATGTATATGCATGTCTTTCGTGTTTAAGCATTACTGCGGTGTATCAAAGGTCGTGAAACTATTGAAGGTAGATTTTATTATTTCTATTAAATAAATTTACTAGATATAGTCTAGTCATTAACCCGTTTTCTTTATAACTTTGCAGCACCAAAGTTCTACCTCTTATTTCAAAGTTGACCTTGTATCGGGTGTTGTTTTTAACCTCATGGTAGACGCCATCCCTTCTTGGAAATGAAAATGTTTTGTTGAGAATATTATTATATTATCATTGAAATGACACTTAGATTATTATTAAATAATATAAGTATTATTTTGTTAAATATTACTGGAGTTTTTTCCCAATACCAAAACGTTNGATTATAAAAATGATAATTCACTATCACTTACACAAATGAACCAATATCATTAGTCACAAGTGTCGGTTGTTCTCGTTGTTGTGATGTTTTTGACCATGAAAAATTTACATAAAAATTCGAAACAAATTTTTCATAATGCTCTAATATACTGGATACTCTAGAACTCAATAAAGTATAGGTTTTTCGATACGTGAGAAAAATGACAACCATCTTATTTTTTTCAGTCTCATTGCCATGAAAGCTTCAACTTCAATTTTACACCCCAACTTGCATCGATATTACATTTTCGAATCATCATATTCCAAAATTCCATAATATCGCATTGCTCTCGTGGGTACTTTGAGTTCTCAAAACAATAATCAGAAACAGATCATTCAACTTCCCAAATAGTACAATATTCCCCAGAATAACAAAGACATTTCCCCTATTCATTCAACCACTGAACGCTAGTGATCGCTCACGATTCCTATACACTGTCAAAAAACTAACTCCTTGTTCTGCCATTTGCATGTCTTAAGTTAAGTTCCATACTCATCACCGTCTGAAAATTTCCAGAAAACTGTGTTTCGAAAATGTCATATTTTTTTATAGAAACGCTTTTCATTCACTTCCTAGTCTTCGAGAAGAAATTTCAAAAGTACAGTGACATGTATACGAGAAACAGATTTTTTAAAGGTCAGAGGGATCCAGATTTGTCGTGTTCATTGCAAAGGAATTCTCACAAAAACAAGTGTCATGTTTTTGCTTGATAACTGCCATTGTCCTCACTTCGTAATTTTGAACACAAGCCTTCTAGTCACTAGAGTTGGTAAAGCAACCATTCTTGAAACTTCTTGATACCGATTTCTTGTTGGGATATGCTAGTCCCAATTTGTAGCTATTCCACCATGCCGCCATCCCTCCAAATTGCGAACTTCAATGTGCGATTCTTCAATCAACAATAATACTACAATCAACCTGGTACACGAGATAAAAGATCTTGGTATAACATATGACAGTAAATCAACATTTACAGCATATATAAAGAATATGACTGCCGATGCAAAAGGATGCTTGGATTCGTTTACACAAATGGCACAAACTTCAAAAGTATTGCCACCTTGAAATTGTTATATTTTGCGTATGCCAGATAAAGTATGGCTCTGTGTTATGGAATCCAGTTTACGTCTACCAAAAAACATCAATTGAAAGCGTGCAGAGGAAGTTCCTAAAATACTTATGTCTAAAAGTTGATGAACAATACCCCATGAGAGGCATTGATCATAACATTTTGTTGATACGATTTGATATGACATCTTTGGAAAATAGGGGAGTTATCCTTGGAATAAAATTCTTGTATAAATTACTTAACAACAATTTTGACAGTACGGTTCTTTCACCCGAGATCAATTTCTTAGTACCAAGAAGTGAAGATCGACACTATCTGAAGTTCTATTGCGAAGCATCACGCACAAATATTGTGCTACGATCACCATTGAATTTTATGTGCAATAGCTTCAATAAAATTTGTCAACATTGCGATATTCATTTCGACTCTCTGAACGCCTTGGTATCATGTATCAACAATCACTTTCAATAATACTATAATATTTATGTCAGTACTGCTACATTGCATGATTCGTAACTTTTTGTGTTATGTACTTAATTTTTCGTTTCTCTTTTATACATTTCATATTCCAATATTTTTAATATTTATTTCATATATACCCTGTAATAATAACATTTCCTGTAACTGGTTACTCCTGTTGGAAATCAATCGCTCTTTGTTTAATTTCAGCGACAGTTCACCCAATAGTATATCTCACTCACTTTTATCTAGGACGTCTATTATGGAATCACTTGTCTATTTTTGGAAAATCTGATTTTTCCAGAAAGGTTTGCGTTTGGTTTCCAGTATTGACCATTTCTGTAGTTCTCCTGTCAGTCCGATCATTCTTTTTCCTGAAACAATTCCGTGAGATTTTAAAATATGTTCAACCTTCTTGTATGTAGTTTCGTTAGGTCTGAAAAATTTTTATCGCTATTATTAGGAACTCGAGTGATTTTCCCGGATTTACATTTGTATTCTGTATAGGAGTCAGAAGTAAACAGAAACCATAATGTTTTTAGAGCATGTTTGTTGATCGCGGTTTAAATTGGTCGACCTAATGTACACTAATAATTCCACTTCCACTAACAATTCCACTTTCCACGCACCTGGTGTGCATCCCATATCTTCGTCTCAGAAGTCCTTTTCTGCCACTTCTATCCCGAAATTCTTCTTTGAATAGTTTCCATGTCATTTATAACAGAACCTTGTATGATTACTTTGCTGCTGAGAGGTATATATGGGATTTGAAGGTTCAGTTAAGAATTCTACAGTGAAACTCTACATATATTATTCATCATTAAATATATTCTGCTTTTTCAGTATAACCGCAATTCTCTATATTTTGTTTTTTTTTGAAGCAATTTCTTTCTTTTTAAGTCTCTTATACGCATGTTTTGCCATAGCAGTGATTTCTCTAGCTTACTTATATTTTTCTAGCAGAAATGAATGAATTTCTTGTTCTTGAATTTCACTAGTTTGGACTTCCATTGTCTACTATATAAAATGATTTGAAATCCCTGAAACAACTAAAAAAGAATAATTAAAAATGAATAGCTGAAAATAACAGTTATATTAAGCAAAATAAACCTGAAATGAAATAATAGTGAAATAAACTACAAGTTAAACAAACGTTTCTTGTTCTTGTTAACTCAGTTTCACTGTTCCCTACCTTCATTCTGAGTTTCTTGAAAACGAACTTTTGTCTTATATTTTTCGTCTCTTTATTTACTTTGCCTCCAAAATGTTCCTAATATCCTTTCCAACAACAGTATGTGTGAGTAGCGTTGATTCGAACCATATTCGTCAGTTCCTTGTTCATTGATTCGTTCTATTTCATTCAATGAGAGATTATAGAATTTTGGACAACTAAGTGGTATGAAGTGTACTATGATGTGCAAAGTGCATCAAATGATTTTATGATGAGAGATAATGGAGCTAGTATTACAATTTATCATTGTTTTCTTCCAGGGCGAACTCTCACTTAGTACCTTCTACTGTGAAGAGCTTCACCAGAAGGCAGAAAATGACCTTGGTTTCTATAGCTCTGGTGGACTTCATGAGCTTCTGTTCAATGTCCATAATGGCACCTTTTTTCCCTAAAGAAGCTTCAGAAAAAGGCCTCTCTGATACGCTCTCTGGAGTAGTTTTTAGCTTTTACGCCTTAGTGATGTTCATTTCTTCGCCATTTTTTGGGAAAATTGTAAGTATATTGATAACAAATTGAAATAACTAAATGATAAAGGTAGTGGTCATTCAAAAGTAGGTACTCTCATTTGTTCTGTTGAAGCTTTGTTTCGAATATGAAGACTACTCCTGAAAAATTTGGGAACTTGTTATCTGATATATTTTATTAGGCTCTAAATCGAGCTCTAACGAGTCAGAAATCATAGAGCATACGAGGTCCGGTTATTGAATAACGAGACTGGTTACGAAAAAGGGTTTTATTTTAAGAAATATTCTACATTCGAAGGCTCCCTTTCAAAGTACTCCTCTCTTCCCGCCACATATTTCCATATGTTTTTTCCATTGATCCAAGCAGTGCTGGAAGTCTTCTTTGGTGAGGGTCTTTAGGAGCTCTGCTGTTTTTTGCTTTACCGCTTCCATCGACTCAAATCGGGTTCTTTCTCAAAGCAGATTTTATCTTCGGAACAAGCAAAAGTTGCACGGTGCCAAATCTGGCGAGTACAGCGCGTGTTCGAGCATTGGAGAGCGTTTATCGGCCAAATACCGCTTTACAGATAGCGCGTTATGGGCAGATGCGTTGTCCTGGTGCAAAATACACGAGTTGTTCTTCCACAACTGGGGCCGTTTCTTACGAACTCGTTGTCGCAGTATTGCCAAAACTGACAAATAGTAAGTCTGGTTGACAATTTGTCCCCCTGGAACCCATTCAGCCGTCACAATGCCGTCAATGTCGAAAAAAACGATCAAAATTGCCTTAAATTTTGACTTGAACAAACTTGTTTCTCGATTTTGGGCGATTGCCGCTTTGTTTCAACATCGTATTGAAAAATCCACGTTTCGTCGCAAGTAATAATGTTTTTCAGCAGTCCGGGACCTTCTTACCTTTTAAGGAAACCTGATTAGACCTGTTGACGCAAGATCTTTTGGTCAGGTTCAGGTTTTTTGGTACCGACTTCACACAGACTTTTGTCATGTGTAATTTCTCGTGTGAAAATTTTGTAACCGTTTCTTTATCGGAGTTTACAGCCTAGACAATCATCCGAATGATCATTCGACGATCTGCAAGCAAAATTTTGTTGATTTCGTTCACTGTTTCCGAAGTTGAATCAGTGACAGGGTGACCTGAGCGCTGGTCAACTTCAGTGATCTCTCAGCCCTCACTGAAGCGCTTATACCAATCAAAAACACGCGTACGAGATAGAGAAGTATCCCCATAGGCCTCTTGCAACAATTTATATCACTCAGTCGTAGTTTTTTCAATTCAATGGGAAATTTGAGATTGATACGTTACTCCTGTTTTTCGTCACACATGGTTTCCGGTACGAGAACAAAACACGTTCGTTTCAAACCGCTACTGCACAAATTCTATAATAGTGACGAAAACGTGTTTTGGTTGGTGAATAGAGAAGATTTCCAGGTACCCAACGCACTACTTGTTGTTTTCCTACTCCTCTAGGGCGCCCTCTAGGCGCGCAGTCTCTTTATTTAATAGCCGGACCTCGTACCTCAAATTCTGCATTACTTTTTCAAATTTCAGCTTCCTAATTTTGGAGCCAAGTTTCTCTTTTTGTTTGGAATCGTGGTTGCAGGCGTCTGTAACATTTTATTCGGGTAGGTATGTGAGAATAATAACAACAAATCATACTACAGCTCATTTTTTTTAGGTTCTTGGAGTACATTCAGAACAGTATGTTATTTACAATTCTCTGCTTGATAATAAGAGGATGTGAAGCTTTGGGAGCCAGTGCATTTTCCACGGCTAGCTACGTCTTCGTTGTGAATACTTTTCCCGATAGTATAGGATCCGTTATAGTGAGTAGAATCCTTAGCTTTTTATACGTGTTAGTGAAATTTCTTGTGTTGAAGGAATTCAAGTTGAATTTCTTTCANCAAATTCAAAAAAGCAGTTAAAATGCTACTTGTTGATAGGGCCTATTATTCAGTTCAGGAGTATCTTGACGATTCACTTGAATCTTAACTTTTATTTCTATGTTCTGTTATTTCCAGCTGAATATCTCAGTGTATTTCACATTTTTAGCTTATGTTATTGTATTTTGTTTAAATTGTGTATGTTTTTTATGTAGATTTTTGTATCTTACATATTATTTACGACTTTGTCTACAAGATGTAGTTCTTCAGACAATAAAGTATATTTGATTGATTGATTGATTGATTGATTGATTGATTGAAGCATATAATAAAAAAAATGAGAGCGATGAATTGGCGCAGTGGTTAAATGGCGGCTCTCGACCCTGGGGTGCTGAGTTCGAATCCATCTTCGACCAGTTTTTTTTTTCTGGAATTCCTCAGCAGGAGTTATCAACATAACCTATCCAGAACACGGCTACTAACCATAGTAGTCGGTGGCGTTGACACCGAAGAAAAATTGACCCGAATCGTGTATTACAATTCAGGGTGTAATTTTCAAAGCGAAATTTGGGATCTAAACTCTTAAAAATTTATGAAAATTTGATTAATAGCAATTTGACCGACCGAACATCAGTTTAGAAATCAACCTAAATACTGTTAACTGTTGAAGCATAGATCGAAATTTTATTATTATGAAGGTCTTAATTTATATAATAATTATTGTGAAAATAATTTAGGGAATCCTGGAAACTTTCGTAGGCCTTGGAATGAGCGCAGGTCCGGTCCTGGGAGGCATGTTGTATTCGGTATGTATGTGAAACCACATCGTCAGAAACCCCAACGAATAGAATAGATTATAGTTTTTTATTCTTCTAGATAGTTAGGCGGCTTCAGCATGCCCTTCAACGTATTAGGAGTTGCTATGTTGACTGTGGTACCTCTCAATATATTCCTCTTACATGAAGTTGAAGGTAAAGTACTTTTCAATTATATTACCATTATAATTATTTCAACTAGTCGGGTCCTGTCTCAGAAGTCCTGATATATACGAAGGGAGGGGGCAGCAATATCGACCTGAGGAAAGTGAAGGTCAGGTATTTTGATAAGCCGAGGTCTTCAATGTTGCTGAAGAAGACCCATGCAAAAGTTTATTCTTGTGTTGCAGCACCTCGTTCAGTGTCGAAAACTAAACTGAGTTCATAAGAAGCTCAGACAGCTGCCTTGAAGAGGAATACTTCAATTTCTGCTCTTTCATGGTCTCGGACCGTGCAGACAAGGGGATCCGAATTCCTGACTTTACAGGCTCCATCTAGTACCATTCTGTCTTGTAGATACTCCAAACTCAAAAGTTCACGGCCTCCCTGTTTTCACGGGAAGTACACCTGCAAACTCCTATGGAGATGTATCATTTTTTGGATCTTTAAGTCGTGTTGATACAGTCACTTCACTATTCCAAACAAGTAGACCAAGATCGAAATGGCAAGCATATTCGTAGCAACAACTTTCTGCTCCAATAGTTTTGATGATCAGATCTGTCGGAGTGTTGTACTTGCCACGGAGGGAGTTCTTCACTGCCGATACTTCATGTGAGTGACGTTGTTCAACCTCGAGGTAAGTATACGTTTCTCCGGTATCCACATGGAGCAGCTACCGTCTACAGGCTGTACATCCTCTCCATGATCCTCGAATGGTCGTTTTTCAAGATGGACCGTGGCACATCTTGAATTTCATATCAATAGCTTGCAGTTTCTCCTCAACCACACACAAGGACTAATGGATATCCTTCTCTCCAAAGGTATAAAGATCATCCGGTTTCCGGGAAGCCACAGTTATACCCTCGACTATTTCTGAGTGCAACGGGTTATGACAACAGTGAAATGAAGAAAAGAAAGGAATTGAGGGAATCGTCTTGAAATTCCCTCCTTTCTGAATATTACCGCATCTGTTTGGCATAGTCGATGTGAACCTAGAGTGGTTCAAGTCGATCCACAGTTTTTTCGGGCCCCGTAAGGCATCTGTGCCAATGCAAGATGTACTCATACGTTTTTATATCAAATACCTTTGAGGCTATCGGGAGGTTATTGCTTATGTTACATCCAGTGTTACATTACACATCTATGAATGAAGAGATTATCTTAAACATTCAGCTACTCCTCTCTTCGATCCTCTATACTATGCCCACCATTATTAATACTATCATTATTATTTTATTATTATTATTACTATTACCATTCTAGTGATACAGATAGCTGGTATATTCTTTTTCAGAATGTGATAATATGGAAAATAAAAATACATCCATATTCAGACTTTTGAAAGTACCTGCCGTGGTCGTGACAGGAACCGTTGTAGTGATAGTTTCCAGTACTTGGTCATTCTTGGACCCCACTTTAGAGCCACATTTGAGACGAGTAAGTTTTAATTAACAGTGATTTTTTTAGGTTTTCCTAGATTTTGAAGTAGGTCCAAAGTTCTTTTGACACACGTGAGAAATAAATTAGTAGTATAGATATAGCAGTATAGTAGAATAGTCAGTTTCCGAAAGAGCATGATGGAATCGCAAAATAATTTACAAAACGAAAATGGAATTGTAGGTGTATGTGTGACTTATATCACATGCAAGAAAATAGATCATTGAAAAATAATAGATATCTATTAAGAGGATGCCTTTGCCTCCCGAAAGATCTATTTCGGAACACCATAAAACGATTAAACTATGCTGAAGATTAGTTTTCATGACATAATATTTTCATTTCATTAAATGACACGAAGATTTGTAACATTCCTACAGATATGGGGACGAAACAACTGATATTAAAACACAAAATAAAAAAGTTCATGAGGAAATCAAAGTCTGAATTCATTAAATACTAATAGTAAGGCTAAAATATGACCCCATAATAAATTCATTCATAGAATGAATTGATAATTGACAATTGAGTATATAAATTTGAACATATTTTGTTCATTTATATTACAAAAAATGTATATACGGTAAAATTAGGGAGACGAAGGTATTTTCTCGAAACTCATGAAGAATATTCATTCATTCGTTATATCTCCATTAACTCACATGATGAATTTGATAGATATATAAAAATGGTAAACTACCACACCAATTTAAAAAGTCAGTCGTTACCCCATATATAAAACAGGAAAGCGTGATGACATTGGAAACTACAGACCAATATCGGTTATCAATAATTTTGCTAAAATATTTTAACAATCCTTAAAAGGTAGACTTGTAAATTACCTCAATGAAAAAAAAAATACTAACAGACAGACAGTTCGGTTTCATTAGCAATTCCAATACCGAAAAAGCAGTACTAGATTTTGTACAAAAAATAATCGGAGCATTGGATGGATCAGAAAAATGTTTAGCTATATTTCTAGACCTAGCTAAGGCATTCGACACCGTTGATCATGACATGCTATTAAAAAAATTATATGGGTATGGTATACGTGGCCCAACATACAATATTTTGGAAGACTATCTATCAGATAGGACACAAAAGGTCAAAGTTGATAATAGCCTGAGTGAAGCAATGAAAGTTAAAACAGGAGTACCACAGGGAACAGTTTTAGGTCCCATAATATTTCTTGTTTACATCAATAGTATCTGTTCCTTCAACAATTTTGGAGGTCATCCCATATCATATGCGGACGATACAGCACTCATATTCACAGGTAATAATTGGAAGGAGGCATTTGAAAAATCAGAAAATGAACTGAAAGACATCCAGAAATGGTTGATCACAACCTTCTGAGTCTGAATGTGAAAAAAACTAAATTTATTACATTCACCCTATTACAGAACGATCAACCTGAAAATAACATAATCCATTTACCTGACAGAGACTGTACTAATACAACAAATTGCAATTGTGCTGTCATAGAAAGAACGAAAACGATTAAGTATCTGGGAGTTATTTTGGATCGGCATTTGAGCTGCCATAAAAATGGCAGAACCTAAAGGAATTTTGTGTTCTTGTTTGTTCATCCCATTATAAATATTTCTTCTTGTTGATGTCAGCACCCCTCATAATACATATAATTGATACTTTTTAATGAATTCGAAGTTAAAATTTACATGAATTTTCAATAATGTTTCAGTTCGATCTCAGTCCAGAACATATGGGACTTGTATTTCTATTATTTTCGGCGCTATATGGCATATCAAGTCCAGCTTGGGGTTGGCTGGCAGACAAAGTCAACAACCACTGGTCGATGATGATTATGGGACTAGTTATGTGTACCATAGGGTTATTATTACTAGGACCCTGTCCTATCTTACCCTTTTACAATGAGTGAGTTGAAACTTCCTGAAAAATTGATCCAGACTAATGAATTCCATGTCTTTCAGAGGTGTATGGCTGGATTTGATAGCTCTTTCGATTCTTGGAATCTCGGTGGCCTTGGCTCTCATACCTACTTTCCAAGGAATACTCACAAGTGCACTGTAAGTATCAGTAGTATTGATGGCTTACCTTCCTTTTTTTCTTTACAATGAAGCTCTTTATATAGAATGAAGCTCAAGGCAAAGATAAGAAACATCTGACAAAAAATATTGAAATGAATAACTTTTCGTTCCAATTGTTCCCTGTTTTTACCCATATTACTTTGTTGGGTTGAAAATCACTCAGGGCACTATGGAAGTGTGAAAATGTTTTCAAAATGTAATACAAGGTGTTCGGAATCCATGACTAATTCTGAAGAAATCAGTCGTGTTATAAATAACAATTTGATGAAGAGAGTTAATAAATGGGTGCAGGAGTAAACGAGAATATCTTCGAATATATTCTGAAATAGTTTTTGTAATTTGTGTGAAAAGACAATTCACTATTTTCGAGTTTATGAAACATTCATAATTTTTTTTCATCTATACTGATAAATGCGAAAGTAACTCGCTTAACACTCACACAATCATTTCCGAATATTCCAACTGAAGCTCTTCCCGTGGGGGTAGAAAGGACGCGTTTATATATGAAAATTGCCTTTTCATCTCTGTATCTCCGTACCGATATACTTTGTAGGAAATTTTGTATGTAGGTTCGTTTTATGTTCCAGATGTACAATAAAAAAAGGTTTGGTCCTTTACAGCACGTACTTTGAATGAATATTTTCGAAGATATCACAGACTTGAAATGCAGGGACATCGCGGTTGTGGCGCTACCGGGCCACCTATATGTAACCTTTAAAGAACACATGTTTGTATTGTCTACCGACAAAAAAGCTGTGAACGTTGTATATTCTGTAGTATCAGCATTGCACCCGTGCGGAGTCGGGAAAGATCGCTAGTTCAATATACATTCACCTGAAATCCTGGCTTCAATAATAACCATGACGGCAAATTGATAGCTCCAATAAACTTGTTGTAACTATTCGAAATGAAGGTTTCGTAGCCCGTAGTTTCATGCTGGACATGCGCATGTTTTATTTCTTTAAGAAAAACCGAAATATGTCGTGAACGATTGATTTTTTGATGTGGAGAATGTTTAATGAATGTGAGTCAAAATCATCCCCAAACTATCCTAAAATACAGGGTGTTTGATTTGAAAAAACTAAGTTTGGGCCCATTTTTTAAGTCATCGATTCCGAACACCTTGTATAACATTTTGGAAATGTTACTCCCACAAGACGATGGAATGAAGCATTTTGATGAATCATTAATACCTCATTTATGTATTCTACCAAACTTATGAATTTTATTGGGAAATCACAAAACAGCAAACCTTGCATGGTTCAACAAGAATTGCGAGCAAGCTGTCGCCTCCAAAATTCTCGGCTACCAGCAGTGGCGCAAAAATTCCAGTGCCGAAAACCGAACTGGGTTTATTGATGCTCGCAATAGCTGCAAGAACACATGAAAGCAAAGAACTTCACCATCAGAGGATTAGGGATAAACTGCTTGCCAATCCCATCGGGTCTAGATCCTTCTGGTCGGTAGCTAAAGCTGCCAAGCACAAATTCGCAAATAACAAAAGCGGATGGTTTAATTGCAAAAACAGCCATATAAAAAGCAAATCTGCTACTAAACAACAGTAGATTTTATGGGAAAGGCATCCCCCAATATTCCCACACTAGGATCCACAATGCCGTAAATTACTTTTCGACAACGTCTAGGGCAAGAAAAATCTTCCAAATAACTATAGACCAAGCGCTTTGCTATCAGCGATATCAAAAGTCATGCAGAAAACCGTAAACCACCATATCCTTGAATATTTGGAAGGCCTTAACATCTTGAGCGATCATCAATATGGCTTTCGGAAACAAAGATCAACAGGCGAATGTCACCCATATTTGGAATAACGCAATCGAGAAACATGGAGAGTCGAGAGCTGATGCGCTTGATATTTCTAAAGTCTTTTACCGTGTGTTGCATGAGGGTTTGCTGGCCAAACTTCGATGCTATGGCTTGTCAGATCATTTTTGTGTATGGCTCTTCGGCTTCCTGAAAGGACGTTCCCTGCAAGTGACCATCGATGATATATCTCAAATACTTTTACCATCCATATTGTCTTCAACCATCTTTATATTGTATATCAAAGACTTATTGAAGAAAACGAAGAATCCAATATATTGCTTTGCTGACGACAACACTTATTTCGTAATTCCATTTGGATTCCAGGACATCAGCTTCAGATGTACATCTTCACCGGCATCAGGAGGTTGCATATCTTGATGAGGATCTAGAAAGGATTTCGAATTGGGGTGAAACTAACCAGCTTCAATTCAATGCCACAAAAACCCAGGCATTGGTTTTTCCAAGAAGATAAATGTCTCCAAACTGGATATAATAATGTCAGGACAAACGAATCCGCTTTTTGCTCCGATAAGTTTGTTGGAGGTTAAAATGGCCACCAATACGTCTTGGCACAATCATATCGTTGAAATTGCAAAGGTTATTCTCGAAAGCTTAGAACACTGTTCCAAATCAGAAAACTGTACACACCTCAGCAACTTTTGATGCTTCATACAGCTCAGATCAGACCTTCTTCTGGGTATTGTTCTCATGTATGGAGCTCCGTCTCTAAATATACCCTGAAACTGCTGAATTCCATTCAGAAAAGAACCAACTGCCTGATTGGAGACGCGAACATCACTCACAACCTTGATAGTCTAGAACACCGTTTTTCAACGTGTGGGTCGCGTTCTGAAGGGGGGTCGCGCAAGGATAAAAAAAACTACCTCAGTAAAAATAAATAAAGTTTATAAAGATAGATTTAATAAAAAAATGTTAACAATGTTAACTGGTAAAAATTTGTACATATTGAAACAAACAAATTAATAAAAAATTTAAAGCCTACGTCTACTTGTCACTCCTAATGCGAAGGTTGCGCTTGTTTTCGATTAATCAATTTTTCCCATCGTGGTTCCGTGTTTGCTACATTGAGAATTAAGTCATTTTCTAAATTTAAGCGATTTCTTTGCTTGCTTTTTATTTGAGCCATTGATGAAAATATCAACTCGCACAACTACTAGGTGGCAGATGAAATCAAACACCTCAAGGCCTCAGTTGTTAATTCCGGGTATTGTGTTTTCCTTTCAACCAAAAGCTATCCAAACTGGCAGACTTGAATTCTAAGTGTAACATCCCATCGGCAGATAACTCCAGCAGATTTTCTTTGAGCTTAGTTGTTAAATTCGCTTCATTTGTAGCTGCAATTGAAAATGGATTCAAGATGCACCTTTGCTCAGTGTTTTCCGATATGTCTTGCACAGAAAAGTAAGACATAATTCTTCTTTTAAATTATTTTACACCATTTTCATACCAGAATATACTACTTGATGTTTATGTCACATCCGACTTCTTCAATATAAGACTGTGTCAATTTTCTTTGTAAAGCCATGTATTTTGTCTTTTGCAGTGATGACATTTTCATCGCGCCCTTGAAGACTTTTATTCAAGATAGTTTAATGGTCGAATACGTCAGAAAGAAAAGCTAATTTCAAAAGAAAATCCAGCTCACAAATAAATTCAGAGTATTCCTACTTAGTCTGCTGTAAATATATTAAAAGTTCAGCTTGGAGTTCCATAACTCTGATGGTCAATACTACAACCACCTAACCTCTGTATGGTAAAGTAAATGTTGGTGGAGTGCCCCCATGTCTTCACAAATAATCCGAAACAATCGTATCTGCAACGCTTTTCCTTCAATTGAATTTATAATAAATAATATTTAGAACTTGACTGTATTCCTGTGGCAAGGTTTTGACCGCAAGAGCTTGGCGATGAAGAAAGCAATGCATCCAAGAAGCGTTTGGCATTTGTTCTTTCAATCTAGCAATAAATCCACTTTTTGCACCAGTCATAGCTTTTGCTCCATCACTACAAATAACAATGCATTTTTCTTCCCAATCCATATTTATATCTTGCGTAGCTTCAAAGAACATGTTATGCAAGCACTGACCTGTAGTGTTTGAGGGAAGTGCTCTGCAAAATAGTATTTCTTCGGTTAATTTTTCATTGATTTCAAAACGCACAAAAGCGACAAACCGCGCACCACCCACAATATCCATAGATTCATCAAATTTCAAGGACACAAAAGTACTTTCTTTCATTTTTTCTATGACTTGGTCTTCAACGTCAGTCGCCATATCGCTTATCCTGCGTTGGATGGTATTGTCTGAGAGTGGTATACTTTTGAGCTTTTCTACTTCTTGTTTGCCAAACATAATTTCTGCTATATCTAAAGCCGCCGGTGAAATCAAACTTTCGGCAATTTTGTGGGGTTTTCCTGTTTCAGCCACACGAAAAGCTACTCGATAACTAGCAAGCAACGCTTTTTCATTTAGGTTAGACATTTGTACTATAGCAGTTTTTTTATGTTGAAGAGCTTTTAATTTTCTCTCAAAAAATTCCACGGGTTTATCTTTTTCATTTGGATGTTTTGTGTTTAGGTGGCGTGATAACTTCGATGGCTTCATGCTTTCTCTTGATAAAGTTTCAAAGCAAATAACGCACTGCGGTCTATCACAGTAAACCCAAATTTCAAATAATTTTCATCATAAAGACGATTTTTTTTTTGGTTTTGATCCACCACTCCCGCTAGAAGTTGACGGTTCTGTTGGTCTTTTCTGGAATTTATCCATTTTCAATTATTACAAATCACTTCAACTATATACGTGAAAAACGGAAAACAATGATTTGCGCTCGCTAAACAACTGAACGGCTGACAATCACGTGTGTCACTATGCCTATGCGCGTAAATTGCGTTAGTTATCATTTGGCGTTTTTTTCGATGTAACCTAACCTAACCTAACTGAGCGCAGGTGCAAAGATGAGGTGACGAAACAAGAACACCTTAAGCATGTATATTTTTCAGTTGACGAAACAAGAATAAAATGGGTCATAACAGGTAAAATTTCCCTAGGTGACGAAACACGAATTGACGAAACAAGAATTGACGAAACAAGAAACTACCGAAGAAAGGTTGGACTGTAAATACTTTCACGGGAAGTGTTCAAGTGATTTTGCACATTTGATTCCACCAAGAGCAGTACATATCAGAAAAACGCGACAGATTATGGCTGCCCATCTTGTTGAGGTTCAACTCAGTAAACCTTGAACTTCACTGTTTAAGGACTCCTTCATTTGGAAAACCGTATTTATGTAGAATAAACTTCCTAAGAACGTTTTTCCAAATGAATTTAATCTCCAGCGATTCAAATCCAGGCACCGCTCTTAGAACGCCTTAAGGAATTTTCTGTAGTCTTGTGTTTTGTCTTTAAAAAAAGCCAAATACCTATTTTTTTTTTGAGTAAACAAATTAATATTTCGAGAACCGTTCATTGTTTGTAAAAAGTGTATTACAGAAACTCACATTAGTATTGAAAAATGTGAGAATATACAGGGTGTTACTTTTGAATTAGGGAAGTTGGTATCGGTATAATCGGAAAAAGCCATTATTTTCATTCATTGAAGCATATTGAAAAAATCTATATTTGCCAATTTTTGGGCAATGCATCCTATTATCTAATTGTCAAAAACCAATAATATTCTCTATCTGTTGTTACAATTTAACCGGCCTCATAAGTCTTACCGTTTCCGAGATAGCAATAGTTAGATCTGGTAAGTACTCCCTAGTATTATTTGGCAGTACTAGCCTTTGTAGCTTTTCTTCATTTTGCAAGAATGTACTTGCAGTAAATCGAATGTGAAGTCGATTAGGATTTGCTTGTTCTTCATTTCTGTTCCATTTTATTTTTACCTTTCACTAGAAATATTGTTGTCATCTTCACTCCACTTCATATTGTCCGAAGTTTCCAAAAGGTCGGTCGTAAATTCTAGGGAGAATCGGACTAAAGTAAAACTTCAACACCACATTCATGCAGCTCAAAAATATTTGTTTCTAGATTTTTCAGCTCTTTGCTGTAATAGAACATTTATTTTATACATTTTTCAGAAACGCTGGATGTAGAGATGCTTTAGCAACATACAGTATAGTGGCTGGTGTGTGGTCGTGCATGTACTCTTTGGGAGAGGTTATTGGACCAGCTCTAGGTGGGTTTTTGTTACAGTATTATGGCTTCCCGATAGCCTCGACTGTAATGGCACTCATGACATTGTCTTCGGTGAGTTGAATTGTTTCCTAATAACTGTGCAATTATAACTGAAAAATGTTCCGAAAATTGTAAATTCCGGTATTTCAAGGTACCTACTTTTTTCCATTAACAAAATTGTTGAAGTAAGTGGCAGACAAGATAAATAAATTACACTATGGAGAATGTAACAGCGTGATATAGTAACCCTTTCAATTATTTTTAACGTTTGTTTTTAGCCCATAATTTTAGCTCACAGTATGATACCTATAAAATACCCACATAGCAANGGGAATAATCCTGCCATATTCTATTCACAGTATTCTATGAATATTCTAAAGGTATGTATATATTCCAAGAATATTCTATGAATATTTGGAATATATACGTTCGTTTTATGATATACAGGGAATATTCCAAGAATATCTAGTGCTGTGTGGGTAGATTTCAATTCCCACTTATAGTACTTGTCTATGTGTATTGCTATTATAATTAGGTATTGTAAGAATTACTTTTTTTTTGTTCTCTTGCAGAATATGCCTGAACGTCTTCAGAACTGAATAGTAACATAGTCAATCAATTTTTCACATGAGTAATTCATTAATTTGAAACCACAAATTATACAGCGTAACTCACAGTCGATGGTAGGTTAGACGTTTCTGGAAAACACAAAGCATGATTTTTCTGAAAATTTCACCGTTCACATTTTCTTACCTGTTCTATCGATCTAAAATATTTACAGCATTGCGGCGTTGCCACTTCTATCAAAAAGTCCTAGCAATTATATTCTTTCAAATGGAACATCCCGTATATTAATACATTTTTGAAATTGCTCTAGTATTTTTATACTTTTTTGTTAATAATGTCCTATACCTATCTCTATCTGTTTTCGAGATAAAAAATAAATTGTGCTAAATATGGTCCAAAACATAGCCTTAATTGNACCTGCAGTAGATTCGAGTTATAAAACTTTTGCAGACAACCAGTATCAGTATTATGACCAGTATAGAAAACTGAAAGAAGAGGTATGTGGACTGTGGAAAAAATAAAACTTCATATATATATGTATAGATAATATAAAGTCCGGGTTGAACCGCTTCTTGTGTTTTTAGTAGTTCAACGTTTCGGCTTCGACATTGAAGCCATTTTCAAAAAACTATCACTTCTCTGCCTACTCCTGCAAGAGTTTAGTGACTTGACGCCAGGGCCTCAATCTACCTACTACCCAGGTCGCGTCGTTGGTCTCTACAAGAGTCTCATTCTGCCTACTCTCAAACTATAAATATCATAATTTTGAAAAAAAAATTCTAAACTCACTTCATTTCATTCCAGTCACTGTTTAAATTGGTCACTAAGTTTGTTTGCGAATTCTTCATGGAATGTTTCTGTGGTAATTATGTTAGGAGCACCTCTCATTCTAACAATGGGCCCTAGAGTAGACACTAATCCTCACAAAAATCCATGGGGTGTCATATCAGATAATACAGCGGGTCTTACTGAGGGAGCTCTATTACCTATCCACTGGTTTGGATAATAGTCATGTAGCCACTTTTGAATCAGCTTGTCATCCTGAAGAGGTACCAATATTGATTGAAAACTCATTCGGGTTTTACAAACCAAACCGGTATGCCAAAGAGGCCACTAGATCCCCTGATATGACGCCTCTATGTTATTGAGGAAATACGTGATTTCTGCAACGACGAGTGATGCAACACTCGTGATGCAACACTATTGTTTTTCTTACAAGAAAGGGTGAGAAATGATGTATTTTCACGTAAATTTTGTCCGGCCCTGATATTTTGTTCCGTTCAAAAATTAAAAGAGGGGACTATTCACGTCTGTACTGTATATATTTTATATATTGTCCTTAGTCTTTAAAAAATTATATTGAAGTTCCTTCAGAATTATCCCACTTTCAAAAAGTACTGTAGTAGGTACCGTACTTTTTAATTTTTGTTTCATTCTGGTCTTATTATCTATGTCTTTTCAAATGGCATTCTTCCTAACATCTCATTGGTCACAGGTTGATCAAACCAGCTTATTGATCACGAAACATCGCTCAATAATGATATAAAAAATCTTGTTCAGATTTCGCATTATTATTAGTAGGAGTAGGATTAGTAGGATTACCAATGTATTCCATTCTAATCATTTCAGCTCTTTTTGCTGATGCTATTCAATATTGATTGACTGACACTCTTATATTACCGTACAGCCAAAGCTACTAGACCTATAATCTTGAAATATACAGGTAGGTTTCTTGTATAGCGTAAATAAGCATCAAGAAAGGGAATTAGGAATTTCCACCCCCAAGGGCAAAAAATAGGGGTTTAAAAATTGTATTGAATTTCCTTAGTTTTGAAGTCGCAAACATGAAGTTTTGGGTTGATGAAATATTGTAACTATTTGTTTGCAAATTCTACGTGGGCGAACCCGCGGGTAACAAGTGGTATTTTATATAATATTCCAGTATTCAGATTGTGGAAACATCAAATTTCACCTTAGATTTTTGTTTCAGGTGATTCAACCCGGCAATGACTCAACGGATATAAGAACAACAGTTTCTATCACAGGAAAAGGTTCTTGTGAAATTTGAATACAATGCCTCAAAGTTTGCCTCTTCCTAATTAGGTTCAATATTATCTATCTATCAATCCAATCATTTGAGATTTGATACGGCAAACTTCATTCTGACTAAAATTTGGTTGAGGACATTTTCATGTTTCATGAATATAATTTTGTTATAATTATCAATCACTTTCGGAATCAAATATTGCAATCGAATGTTTTCCGAACATTTTAAAGATCAATAGGTAGTTACAATAGGTACATTTTTTTTAAATGATTTCTTTGCCATTTGAACTGAATACCTGAAAAAAGTATCATTATTGTAAATTTTGTATGTGATCATAAAATCATGAATCATAAAAATGAACATACCATTTCAAGGAGTATTGAAGTATCAGTAGCTATACATTTATCTGTTCAATGGGACCGCAAAATGTATATGAAATATTCATAGAGTTATAAACGCTAGGTAATGCATAATGATCAAATAATTTGAAATTATGGGTAACCTGCAAATTTTCAATGTAAAGTTCCTCGACTTCAATTATACGGAAATATATTCGAATATTAACAACAATTTTCAGAAGAAACGAAAAATTTTGGGCCCGCTCTAACAGCAGATGCATAGGAGTCAGTTTAATTTTTCATTAAAAAAAATTTATTAACATGTAGGTAGTAAAGTCGATGCGCTAAATATGAATTTGTTGGAATTTTAGTCTCATTTTGCTTTCCAATATGATACATCTATTAAATATCTATTAAATCAACACAATTATTTATTCCAGTGCAGCAGCTGTAATATAATGAAATATACGAGAGAGTTTTGATTAGAAGTGTGTGTCACATGGAACTTCCTTTAGAAGCTTCAGGTGATATTATTTCGTATAAAAGTTTGGCATTCTGAAACTATCCAGCAGCATGTATGATATCGGGTAACGATGTTATCAATTTTAATCTTATGTTTTTTAATGAATATCATATATATTGCTCTCCTTATTCGCATTCGGTCAGAAAATTATTCAAAATTGAATTAATATACACCACCACCAAGTGGTTCAAGAGTTATGCCACAATATTGAAGCTGAGCTATTCAACTATTCATATTGTAAACGTATGTCTGTCTGACTTTAATATGACTATATTTTTTCATACGTCGACATTAAAGCATGACATAATTGAACCGAATGAATTAGGCGATAATTAAGAATATAACATATATTTTCAATGAAACCTCAGTTCGAAACTTTTTCTTATTATGAAGATATAGGTTTTTTCGTATCGAATAATAATCTGGCCAAAGTCTTTTCTGTAATATTGAATGAATCGAAATTCGAAAACCAATGTAGAAATGACACATATTGTATTAAATATGTGCTTTCTTCTTGAAGAAAATGAATAGGTAAATACTCAGTGGTTCGATAATTCTACCATAATCAAAACAATTTTATCAAAATAGTTTTCCTGGTAATGTTTTCTTCATATAATACTTCGAAGAAAATGTGAATGTTATTGTAATTCAATAAACTAGCTAACTTACCTTGAAATTTTGACTGACTGACTAATAAGTAAATCATTTTCTATAAAGATTCAAACTCTTCTTTCATAACACTTTCCACGTTATATAGAAATATTTTCCAGGGTTACTCATCTGTAGATTTGACATCCAAAAAGTTCAGTTCAAGTTTTCATTGAGAAGTTCAATTTTTAAAATAGTTTATTTCAGAAATTCAGTTTGCAATCTGGAATAAAACCTCGTCAATTGAGATTCGATGCGAAAACGCTTTCCTAACACGGGTTGGACGATGATAGCAAGTGAAAACCATATATCTATGAGTATATCAAAAATACGTCGCCCCGCCAGAATGTCTTCTGGACATCTCAATGTGATATCACTGAGACATCGCACCCAGGTTTTATGAAATTAGGTTAATAAACCACATTTGCAAGTACATTCTTTCTGTAGTTTATTTTTCCAAAATATTTTTATATCTTTTTCAAATTTCCGTTTTGTTGTTTATCATGCAAAAATTAAGATTAATTCCATATTTCAATTAATTATTCCTGAATATTACGTTACTTACTCACTTCAAAACGAATATCAAACAATATGTTCACACTCACAGGTAAAATCCTTTCGGAAGCGTTGAAAAGACACATAGTTGTTTTTTAGTTTTCATGGCATTTCAGTTGGATTTATATTTTTCCGAAATACAATTTTCAAATTATATGTCAGAGAAAAATGACGAGTGAGAAGTAAGAAAGAAATAAAAAACTAATGTTTTTTACTTTTTTACATCCTGTCTTTGTTTACAAACACAAAACAGCCACAACAAACGAACAATAATTTTGAAATAACATTCGTGACATGACGGATGACGGCGTAAAACTTTTGAGGTTGTAAAACTTACATAACCTAAAAGTGTTTAATATAAATATTCTTCTAATATATTCAATATTTGATATATACGATTTTTTATCAAATTCTATCAGTCTATTCAGAAATGGCTCTAGTCCCAAAGCGAGGTGAGATTTTAGTCATTTTTGGAGCTGGTAAAGGCAAAACTTTTATTTTTTAGCACTGCTAGAAAGAATTTACCCACTAATACAAGTGAAAAGATTCAGAGGAAAAATAAACGTTACTAAACCAAAACCACCACATTTCGTTAAAGCATCGTACTTAGCGCTAACAAAACCTTGGTTCATCAATCCAAATAAAGATAAAAAACCTATGGAACTATGCAGGGGATTTGATGAAAAACTATTCAAAGACGATAATGATAATCCTTTTCAACGAATTATAGCTCAAGAGTTGTACAGATGGATTTCAACTTCACGATTAGTAGTTTTTTATCACCATAATCCCATGAACGCCGAAGAAGAATTCAAGGCATTTGCCATGTTCAAAAAGCAAAATATGCACTTCAAAAAATATGGTAAAAAAACGTTACAGATGGCTGTCGAAGGAACTCCATATGAAACTATTTTGGACTTTTATTGTTCACAGAATATGACAGTTTTCAGTCCAGAACCTGAAATCGTGAAAATGTTGAATATAACCAAGAAGTTTCGTCAGCTAGTTTTGTTAGGTGGGTATATAAAAAAACGGAAAAACATTTGTTAGGATAAGGGTTAATTTAATTGTAGATCATCAGGGTGATTTCTCATTTCAAACGCTCACAAATTTTTTTTAGGAATTTGTGATTTTTTTTTCTGCTGATCACAATTTGTAATTTCAAAATATGTGATGGAATTCGCAGATACTTTATGAAAATCAATAAATTCAAGTTACACTTCATTGTGAGATTTTCACTAGACAGTTTCACAAAAGCACAACAGGTGTTTTACTATACAATAGCTTCCTCAAGTGTTTTCATAGTGAAAGTGTGGGAACAGGTACACCAAGAATACACTTTTACTAGAAACAGAGGTTGCATCTTCTGATGCAACAGATCTTCAGCCTTTCCCGTTTCGGTAAATGTTCACATTTATTCATTGTATCATTCTGGGAATGAAGACCTATTATTATTATCATTATATAACAATATACTATATTCAAAACAAACAAAATACAGTCCATAGGCAAACTGATGGCAATAAACAATAAACAGACTTAACTCAAATCCTCAGCCCTAAAAAAAAATTACCAATGCACAAAGAGGTCAAGTTACATCTATTATCTGTTGGTGTTTGCATTGCATTGCATAATGGTTATAAAATTTACTCCTTTCGGTTTAATTCTACATATGTTACCATAGATATAAATGTTATTCCTGACCAATAGTAAGCTACTTCTACTGGAAAAAATGTTAACAATGAAAAATTTGCAAATCGAAATGTTCATTTTTAGCTGGAATACTTGATGGAAAATTCGTCAGCAAAGATGACCTTATTAAATACAGTGCTATTCCAAATCTTCAAACTGCCCAAGTAGGACTTGTTCAAACTCTCAATAGTGCAGCGAGTCGACTGGTTGGCCAATTAAGTAGTCCTCAAGGCTCTTTAGTTTCGAACCTTGAAGAAAGAGCTAAACAACTACAGCTTGATAACAAACGATAATTTATTGATAATAAATCCATAGAATAAATGTGGTTATGATTTTCCTTTTTTATTAGATTTTGTTTTCTGTGATTTGACTTTTCCTTTCTTGCCCTGTTCTCCAATCTTTCCCTTGAATTGACCAGATGCTATCTCAGGGTCAGGCAATTCTACATCAGGTTCTGGATTGTAACCTAAATAAAATGCAAAATTTGGCAAGGAGAGAAATCTTATAAGAGGAAGGAATCTCAGATATAATTTGCAGAAGAACTCCAGTATCATTTTAATTTCACTATGTGAGAATACTTTGGAATTTTCAGGAAGAAACTGCAAAATATAACAGTCATTAACTAGAACAAATACATCTTCAAGGTTCTTACCGGAAGACTATGAGACATGGAAAGTTCTTTGAAGTAAAGATATGCTTTTTCAGCAGATACATTAAAATTACTTGTGAAATAAATGTGGGTTAAGTGAAATTGAGACAAAACTGCAGCACTTTTCTGCAGGCTCAAGTCATATTTTTTGCAAAACATAGTTGTGGTGTACATCAACTCAATATATAAAATTCTGGCGTTTCCTTTGGGAAAGTCCTGTTCCATCTTGGAATCTAAAATTAACCTGACAGATATGGAACTTTATTTTTTTTAACTTACCTATTTTCTTTTTGATATCGCTCTTTCTTTGAAGTTTCATAAATTGATCCAATTCCTCCTCTTTCATAAATTTCCATATAGAACTTACTGGCTTGGCAATTGACAAATTAGGAGTTTGAAAAGCATAGAATCTACTAATTGTTTGTTCCGGGTTCTCTTCTTTAACAACTAAGTAGTTCTCTATAATGGTCCCTGGCTTTTTCTCATTTTCAGCAATAACATTATCAGGACCATCTTTTGTACTCATTTTCAATAAACATCAAGATACATAAATTACTCCTGGTGGTCACTTTGACTCTTCCTCCATTAAAAACTCACGACCTACGGCGCTCTTGATAAAGAAATTATAATTAGATCCAATAAATTTCAGCATTTCATTCGCAGAAGTGCTGAGTACAACTCAAGTGACGCAGCTCAATAATGTCAAGTTGGCACTTCAATTTTCAATGTATACATTCGAGAATAAATTGATATTAGGATTTCTATATTATGGTCCATAAATTGAAAATTTGAACAAAATACGCGCGGCAGATTTCAATTTTTGCACCATCTATCAATATTTGTACAAAGTTATTTCAATCTCATTTCTCGTGTCGAGTTTTTGACAAAACAAAAGCGAATCAGGTAAAATACCACAGTTTCTATGTACCTTTATAACATACTCATCATTTCCAATAAAGTTATTATTCATTTTGGGTGTGTCTAAAAGAAAGCTTAGGGGGGCGACAGATGGTTAACAAAAAAACAACAGCATGAAATTTTAAATTTGGTTGTTTTGGTTTTGAGTTCCCGGGCCTCCGCAGTTTCCATGCATTATGGGTTTAAATTTGAATAATTTCCAATGGGGAAAACAACTACCGTTGAGGGCGCTAGTGTGTTCAACGTTTACATGGGAAACATATGTATGGTTTTGTGGTTTTGCTATGTCTTAGGTTCATTTTGATTTTGTGTTTGTGAGAGCAGTGTTTTCTACTGCGATTTTCAGAGAAAATGATAAAAAGTACCAGAAACCACAAGATTTATAAAAGGCGGCTAGATAAAGGTCGCATCTGTATGATTCATTTTCCTGATTGATTAATCTGTTACTATAGATATCTTTCGTATACAAACTCTGCCCATTATCTACCTCTAGTGGATGAGCAGTTGAGCTCATTCATAAATTAAATCGGTTACATTATTCTAATTAAAATGAGATATATAGAATGGTGTTAGGAATCACACGTTGAAAGGTAAGACCTCGTAAGTCCTTAACTTGCACAAGTTTCTCAACTTCTGAGAGTTGTCGTTCGTATGGGAACGACAGCTGATTATTGGAAAAACAGATTTTTTTTAAACAGTACCTACGTTTATTCTGCGAAGCAAATGAATTGTTTCAATTGAAACACATTCAATTACCAAATGAAAGGAAGAACTGAAACCTGTGGTGCAGAATTTATCCAGGACAAACAGTGTTCTGGAACACAAATAGTGCAACACTAAACGCACAAATTGATTCAGGCTTTCGCGGCCGAAATATATATATACAGGAGAATCCTTAAGACGCTCGGAGATTAGCCTTAGAAACACAGTTCTCCAAATGAAAGAGTTCTTCGTCAGTTAAGTTCGACCTGTACTGAGTTGAACCTCAAAGCAATGAGCAGCCACCGTCTGTCCAGTATTTTTGATATGCACCGCTTCCCTCACAAGTCAAGTGCCAAGTCACTTGAACACTTCCCGTGAAAGTACCTATCTATAAAAGGAAGACAAATATCCAACTTTTCTTCGATGTTCCAGACTATCAAGGTTGCAAGTGATGTTCGTGTCTCTAATCAGGATGGAATCCAGCAACTTCAGGTAATCGGTGCTCTGTGGTCGGTGATGGCACTTGCTGGCTTGTTTTCATTGGTTGGACATGGAAAAGAATGATGACAACAATCAACCAAAGTGGAGTGGTTGAGTTAGGTTAGGTTGTGAATTTTTGATCTTCAAATATAAAATGTATTCGTGATTTTAATCTATTTTATACTGAAATTCACTCTTAACACAAACTTGTTATATACACCAAATTAGTAAACAATACAGGTGAGAGCATAAAAATCAATTGCTTGTCGGTATTCAGAGGACAATAATTTTTCATATTTTTTTTTAAATTACAGGATGAATATTATCTTGACATTGGCCTTAATATTGTGTTTCAATGTTAGAGATTTTGTCAAAGGAAAAACGAAAAAATCCAAATCCGTTACTACCTTGTTAGAAGCAAAATGGGAAGCAACTCCTCTTGTTTTGGAAGTAGCTGAATATTTGGCTGATGAGAATGAGGATTTTTATTGGAACTTCATTGATGCTATAAGTTCTTTGGAACCACCATTGACATCAATAGGTCTTGAAAAATTAATGATTTAAATGGGGGTAGATAAAACTAAGGTGCCTATACATTGGTGTAACGACTCATAATTAGTAATTTCATGTAAATCAAGTAATACAACCTGCTTAATTTCACTTAGAAGTGATGTCAAGTACCATTCCTCCTGCAGACGATTTTACAATGAAGTGTTGGCTACCCTTCGGTATGACTATGTGAATTGTGATTTACTTTACAGAATAATAGTAAACTGTAGTTGTTCAAATTATGAAAAACACAAACAACTAGAAACTGAATATCAGTAAGGTGAATTTAGGATATCTATATTACCATAGTCTTTATTTACATGCCTAAAAAATAAGTAATATGAAAACCTTGTTTCACATCTCTATATAATTAGAAGTACCGCAAACCATTGCTTGAGATTTTCAATATGCAGTCTTCCTAAAGCATTTAACCTTCTTTCTTCTAGAATATAAAATATGTAAAAAACACCAAGAAATTTAGTGTTTACAAAAAAAAAGATTTCCAAAACTATCATGCTTTCCTAAAAATATTGAACATGTATATTATATTAATATTTTTATGATACTTGTTATTTAAGACAATTATTTCGGAACCTATGTATATTTAAATACTACAATTGCACAATACAAGCTACGACTTCTGAAAAATGATGACTGGTCTTCAAGATTTTCTGAAATGAAAGCGCAATAGTCCCAACACCAGTGTATAAGCAACTTAGATAAAACCATGGTGCAGTCGCCGATTCAATATCGAATGCATTTGGTGAGAGATGGTGTATTTCACAGAATCTTTCATGTATTCAATATATTGATTTTTAATATGTAGAATTGGAAAGTCTGGCAATTAATCTAACAAAATTACTTTTCCCACATACTAGAACCATTCTCGATCTATACTAGATATTGATATTTCAGTCATTGCATTAATAATTTGGAGCCTAGACATTGGTTATTTATCACCAAATTCAATTCTGAATTATACAGTTGACTAAGTCAGCATGGGGTTCCAGATATTGAATTCTCTGAAATATTATATCTATTGTCTTTCTACAAAATGTATGATTCGTGAAAAACCATGTTTGTGTTTTTTTTTTCACCTAACACAGTGGTCTCAATTCAACTTCCGAGCAAGAGAAATGTCATGTTTTCAAATAGGTCTTTCACTTAAGTAGATGAGTAAAGCCGGTTCCAACCCAAGCTAGCGGCCATTTTGGCAGTAAAATCAAATAAATCATTCTCTCAAAATTTCAAACTGGATGCACATCCCAAACCTCAACCTCGTGTGGGATGTGGCCAGTAATCAGACATTTATGAAATTACAGAACCTAAACTATTGTGGAACTCCAAACTGTTATTTTTCGTTCCACCTATGCAATTAATTATAAATCTGGTAAATGTAAGCGCCACCTATAGATTTTATTTGGAAACAGATCGAACCTCATCCTGGACATGGTTGACTGTGACCGTAGCATTGACACCAACATAAGATAGTAAAAGCGAACTGGAGATAGTGGTGGTTACACTGGGGCTGGCAGCTGAATTTTGAAATTTTTCGCACCAGGATTTGTCTTCTTCCTCACATGGAAATATATGTAGATCCTGGATCCACTATGAAAGATCAGAAACTTTTGATGCAAAACTGGTTATACTACATTAACTTTCTTCCTCTTCCTCTTTGAAGATGATCACTTGGTGATCGAAACACGTGTCGAGGTGTTGAAAATAATGATTTGGTGTTGGGAAGAAACTCCAGTAATATACATTAACTTTCTGTAATTTTTTTTATAGATTCCTCAATATTGATGACATATCTTTTCTAGTATAATATCTTTGCAATCTTGATGTTTCAAACAAGGCCACGTGTGGGTTGCTTTTCACAAAAATTTCTACATAAAGCCTCTGAGACTGTATCAGGGTTTCTATACTTTGCAATTCAAACATTCAATAAAACCAATTGATTATTATACCTTTTTAGAAAATGATAGAGACCAGTATCACAAGGTTATGGGGCTTACTTCAAAGCTCATTACAAAGTCGCAGCTGTCAGTACTGAAATTAGGTTTATCTTTGCATATTTATTCACCCAAAGTACAAATGTTTGGCCAAATAGCACGGGAAAGAAAATTGCCGTCTTGTTCCACAGTTGCTGATGTAGGAGGGGTATTAACTTGTGATTTGAAAGAACTTGAATCACTTTTACGTAAGGTATGTCAAATATTTCTAGGACATTAACTAAGATGTCTATACATTGAAAATATAAGGGTGATGCTCTATCTTTGCAATGAATGACAATTTTTTGAAGTTTGAATATAGGATTGGAGTGTACTGAATTACCCCAGAATATCAATCCATAAAGTAGCTTCGACTGTACCCAATTCATAATATTCTCAGAGGTGTTGCCTCTTAGATTTTGTATTGCATAACATGCACTATCAACGTTGTTGGTGATTTAGAATTAGTATTTTTAGTAATGTAAATTGGTTTATTGAAAAATATGTAATTTGTTATAGTACAAACACATACTAATGCTATAAAAAGAGAAATTTCATAATCATATTTTATTCAGAAAACACAAAATTTATTTTAGGTGGGGTACCACATAGATCAACACTTTTTTGTCTTTCAATTTTTACATGCAGTATTTCAATAGTTGATTTTGAATGAAAATACTGAGTCAGCAAAATTCAAGTGAAAATATTAAAAACGCTAGAAATAATACATATCAGTGGGGTTAATCCAAAGAGTACAACTTATTTGACAATTTTTTAGCATATTTCTGTGGAAATTTTTAAAAGCATTGTAAATATTAATTCTGTAATATGCAACTTCATCTTCAGGTAATTTCCTTTGTGACTTTCACTGTTTTCAGTATTCCATGCACTACTTGAATTTTACACACACTGTGTAATGGAAATGAAGAGAATTGAAAATAATATAATAGGTAGCATTTCTTCAATTTATTGTGAAATCATCATTTATTGCATTTCCAATCACAAATATCTTCTAATTCAGGACAAATAAATTATTTATATGTCGTTATATGTTTTTTTACAGCAAGAAGGTAATTTGGCCCAAATAGAAGTTTTCAAAGTTGATACTCATTTTCCTGGTTCAGCTAATCGCTCAATGACTGCTGTTTTATATGGACAGCTGGGAACACCAGAGTTTTCCCAATTCCATAGGTTGTTGAAACAGTTTGCTTTAGAAGGCAAAATCGACTATATTATTCGTCATTATGTTAAGGTGATATTTTTTGTTCTTCATCTGAAGAACAATTGTCTATTTTGAACTTTCTTCAGGATAACAACTCGAAGCCATTACGATTATCTGGGTATGGAGTAGAGCTACAAATGAAATCAACTGAGTACAAATCTCAAGATGATACAAAGGTCCATGAAGATGAGAAGTCCGATGACAACTCTGAAGAAGAAGAAGATTTAGAACTGGAAGGATTTGAATTCTCAAAATTGAAGTAAAACCTTTCATTGTAAATAATTTCAATATACCAGATTACATTTTTGTGTTATAGGAAAATATTTCCACATCTTCTAAAGGAACTGAATGAATTTAAAACACATCTCGAGGAAACTTCCAATGAACTGGCGCCTCTGAAAGTATGGCAGTTCCAAGAATTGAGCTTACAAGCCTCTGAGAGGATCATGACATCTCCAAAAGAGGAAGCTTTGAAAGTTTTAATAAACATTGCCCAAAATTTTCCTATGCAGGTTTGTATCACCAAACAACCCAATAGGGTTGTTTCGAAAGTTTTGTTCATTTTAAAACTGTAATATATCAGTGAAAACTTCAATTTAATTTAAATTTGAATCGATGCACTTTTGCTAACGTAACACAAGTCAATAATTTCGGTTAGCATAAAAATTGTGTACTTATGATTCGATGAAGTCGACGAAGGCCGTTTTTGCGTGGTCCTGATTGACGAAGGTTCTACCGGCTAGAAAGTTATCAAAGTGCTTGAAAAGATGATAGTTGGTTGGAGAGGGGTCTTGGGAGTATGGTGGGTGAAGCAGAACTTCGACGGTCAATTTGTTTAATTTTCTGACGGTGATTTGTGAAACGTGCAAATGGACGTTGTCGTGGAGCAGGGTCGCACCTCTGGGCACCAAGTTTTCCATCTTTTTGTTTTTCCCAATATGTTTTAAACCATCAAACACCAAATGGGAGTGACGCCCAGTTCTTCCGACATCCCACGCATCGTTTGTGGTGAGTTAGTCTCCACCAGGGTCCTCGAATCCTCGTCCCGGATTACTGTAGGTCGACCACTTTGGGGCTCATATTCGAGGCTAAAATCTTAGCAACGAAATTTCGCAAACTAACGTCGAACAGTGCGTCCATTAACACTATAATTGCTGGTTGCCTGTGTAATTTTTTGGTCTGTTTCGGCATCGCTTTGGTTCAATTTTAACCAAATTGGGTGATAGCAGCTAAACGACATCATGTAGTAATGAGCTGAAAAGAGGCAAAAAATTTGGAAAAAAATGAACAGTACCAATGCATATAGTACAAAATTGTCTATCGCTCAGTATACAGTAGAATCAATATTTATTGATATATGGAGCTACATTCACAAGTACCTACATCATAAAAAGCTACGAATTTTGCCTTAAAACTCATTAGATACCTGACAATTGGAAAATGGGCACAATAATTACAATTCCCAAACCAAACAGGGATCACTCCCTTACAGACAGTTATCGTCTGATTACTCTCCTGCCTGTAATTGCTAAAAACTTTGAAAAACTTTTACGAAACCGTTTACTCCAACTGCTTGACGATAAAATTACAAGCTACCAGTTTGGATTTAGACAGGGAAGATCTATTATACATCCTCTCATGATTCTCACGAACAACATTGAAACAACCAAGCTGAACAACAACAAAACGGCAGCGATCTTTCTGGATAAGAACAAAGAATTCGATAGCATCTGGCACAAGGATCTTTTATTCAAACTGCATCAACTGGGTTGTCCTAACTATCTAGTACATACAATTAACAATCTGCTAATTGACAGAAAACTGAAAGTTGAAATGCTGAGTAGTTTTTCAGACGAATTTATCCCAGAACAGGGAGTTCAACAGGGTTCATCGCTCTCACCATTGTTATATAACTTATACAGCTCTGATATTCATCATTACCAACAAGGGAATATCAACCACTTCAGGCATGAAGCATATATTCTCCAGTAAGCAGATGACACCGCCCTAATTGCGCACGATCAAATGGTAGACTAAGTGAAAAAAAGAAAAATTAAACTTTCTGCTTTTTACCACTTTTATTTGTAACTAATACTGCAGTTTCGTCCTATACGGACATTTTCAAACTTATACAAGAGTTTATTGTATAAGTTTGAAAATGTCTGTATAGGACGAAACTGCAGTAACGTTAGTTACAAATAAAAGTGGTAAAAAACATAGAAAGTTTAATTTCTCTTTTCTTCATTATGATTTCCTACCACGTAGTAATGGCTACATCCCTCAGTTTATTGGTAGACTGAGTCATTAACAATTTGGAACATCTTGCAACAATAACAAATAACTGGTTCAATAAATGGAGGCTCCATCCAAACCCACCTAAGTCTCAGTTCATCGTATTTAATCATCGGAATTCCGCAACTTCTCCAACAATCAACGTTATCCAACATATCCTACATGCAAAATCGACAGTTAATTACCTAGGTGTTACGCTTGATTCCAGACTAAATTTCAACAGCCACGTCAATAACAAAAAAAAAAAGAAAGTGATTGCAAGAGTCGCACATTTCACAAGTTTGACAAACCCGGGAGCAGGTGCAAACATATCAACAGCAAGCCGAATATATAAACTAATCTGTCATCCACTTATTGAATACTCGCACCCACTGTTTCTCAATATCAAACAAAGGGTCTTGAAAACAATTAAACTATCTGAAACAACGGTTATAAGGTAAATAACAAGATTAAGGCATCCCAATAACCCCAAACACAAGCCTCCAAACCCTCTGCTGTACCAGTCACTGCTATTATCTATATCGAGGAAAGACTACCGTCACTTACTCAGAAGTTTGCTAGAAAAGACAATGTAGAAATCATTAGAAAGTATGCTGTGACAAGAAACCCCCATGCAAAAGTACGACATCTACACCCAACAGTATCCATGTAATATTTTCTTTTTTTTTGATACTGTAAAATAAGCTTTGTTATTTCATAACAACTTTGTTACACAGACGGAAGGACTTCGGTTGATAGCCAGTTGAGCAAAATTGTAATGTTGTTCAATAAATTACAATTATTGTTATTATTACTGGAGTTACAAAAACACATTATAATAAAACAGGCGAAATTTTCGAAACAACCTAAATAATATTTAACTGGATAATATCATCTATTTTTATTATGTTCTTGTTACAGGCTAAAGGACTAGTCAAAACTGTTGTCAACTCGGACTTGAAATATGAAATGAAGAGAAATTCCGATAAGTTTTCCACGAATCTCAATCTACAACCTTCAGACACGGCTCTCTTCATCAACGGAATGTTTTATGATGTCGATTTAATTGACATCTTTGGAATTCTCGAAGTGCTTCGGCAGGAACTTAGGGCAATGGAAGGCCTACATAGCATTGGAATTAGTAATAAAAGAATGTCTACACTTCTTGGTTTAGATTTTGGGGATGATAGCGGTAGTCAGGAGTTCGCAATAGATATCAGGGATTCGGCAATAAACTGGATGAACGATATAGAACACGATTCCAGTTATGCAAGGTGGTCCACTAGTTTCATGGAGCTGCTCAGGCCTACCTTTCCTGGCATGCTTCGGCAGATCAGGAGAAATATGTATAACTTGGTAATTATATAATAATTATTTACTCATAGCTGGGTACAATATACAATGCTCTTATCAGGTGTTTACCTTAATTACAGTGAAGTCTACATATGGATTGTTGTAGATAAATTATAAATTTGAACAATACAATTACATGCCTCTTTATCTAACAGCAATAAAATAACGATATTATATAGTCATGTGAAAATATGCATTTATGAACATTATTATGAAAATTATATTGGTTATATTATATTATACAGTCATGTGAAAATATGCATTTTTGAACATTATTATGAAAATTATATTGGTTGAACTTACCACTTAAATCACACATTGAGAAAAGCATAATTACAAAAATGCATATTTGTTCTGGCATATCAATGTTGTAAATAATCAATACAAGACAAGCAGTGCTGTATGTACTATACAAAGAGTATTTCTTATCATGTTGATATGTTGAGAGGTTATTGTAAGAAAAAAAACCCGTAATTAGGCATGTCCTAGATTGCATTTTTATGCATCAAATGGCGTTAGTGGTGTCCATGAGGAAGTCATTTTAAGAGCATTTATGATCAAACCTGGTATATGGATTTTGTTTTTCGTTTGACATACAGTTTTCACATAAAAAAATTACATTTTCGCACAAAAAACAATACATGTAACTTTAAACAATAATTTGTTCAAGAGGATACTCTCTGAAGTGTAAAATTTAACTAATAAAAGTTTTGGAATGCTAACATAAAATGATACTGATTTCCCAAAAAATAAATTAAATCAGATGTTGAAAATGTTACCCAAAGTAAAGATGCTCCCACAGCTCTGAGTTTCATCAGAACCATCCTACAGGCTGCAGAAGAAAGAGTTACTGTTGAGGATGTTAAAGCACATCTCAGATCTCAGTATGATGAAGATCCAGTTGACATTCTAGGTAGGATATCTCAATTGAAATTTTAATCTTTACCAGTGACACCATTCATTGCATTCTCACATAAGACTTCATTGGGAAGCTATGGAGATCTATAAGCATCTCAACAATTTCAACAAAAAAGAGGATATGCGAGTCAAAAAAATTTCATATTCAGGACTTAAGAAGGCCAGAAATGGATTAGTAAAAACTCCAACCAACATCCCGCCTTCAGGACATCTATTAACAACGTGGACTAATCACAACAAGCTAGCATAAGTGCGGACCAATCAGGAGTGATTATTCTCTTGGACACCTCACCCCCACCATCCCCTACTAGTATAAATATGAGTAAACATAGAGATCCCCAGTCAGTCGTTGTTGACACTTTGAGATAGTATACCTCCTTGGTCCTCAAAGTCAATACGTATATATTTTAAAAATTGTTTGAATATTTATATTTCCAAATGTCAGGTAATGTCACTCTTTTCAACACATAAACCATAAATCTAATCTATTCCAAAAAATATTCCCTTTTCAATTATTTGTTTTTACCTATTCATATCTGAATATAGGAATACTGAAACTGAATTTTTTTCCAAGTTTTTTTTTTTAATTCTAGTCAGTTGAAAAGCTCTCTTACAAAAAA